ATCATCCTCGTGACTCTCCTCTGGACACGCTCCAGCAGGTCCATGTCCTTCTTATGTTGAGGACTCCAGAGCTGGATGCAGTACTCCACATGGGGTCTCACGAGAGTGAAGTAGAGGGGCAGAATCACCTCCCTTGACCTGCTGGCCACACTTCTTTTGATGCAGCCCAGGATGCCGGTGGCCTTCTGGGCTGTGATTGCACATTGTTGACTCATGCTGAGCTTCTGGTCAATCAGCACACCCAGATCCTCCTCCTCAGGGCTGCTCTCCAGCCATTCCCCACCGAGCCTGTATTTGTGCTTGGGATTGCCCCAACCCAGATGTAAGACCTTGTACTTGGCCTTGTTGAACTGCATGAGGTTGGCTTGGGCCCACCTCTCCAGCCTGTCCAGGTCCCTCTGGATGGCATCCCTCCCCTCCAGTGTGTCTACCTGTGTGGATTCTCCATCCCCGGAGGTGTTTAAAAAAAGGGTAGATGTGGTACTTGGGGATATGGTTTAGAAGTGGTTTTGTCAGGGTGGTGTGAGAGATGGAATTGTTTTGCTTCGACCATTTTGTGTGTCGACGGCAAAAGCAGAGCTGTGTAACTTAGAAAAACAACTCCTTAAAAGGAGAAAAATGTGAGTCGAGTTTGTGATAGGCTAACGGATCGTGAAAGAATGTATGCCCTAAAGTATCTAACCAATGGAAAAGGGGACAGGACATAAATACCTGAAGTTTTGTAGCTAAGTGTGCGCTTTTTGAGATGCACCCGACTCAGCTGACTCGTTTATTTTGATCCTGAATAAACTTTTATCTTTACTTCAAAGACTTTGTCATCTCTACACTTTTACCCGTGAGCGAGCATTTCTTACAGTAGGTTAATGGTTGGACTTGATGATCTTAAAGGTCCCTTCCAACCTCAGCAAGTCTATGATACTAAGAAGGACATTGAGGTGCTGGAGCGTGTCCAGAGAAGGGCAATGAAGCTGGTGAAGGGTCTAGAGCATGTGTCTTATGAGGAGTGGCTGAGGGAACCGGGGTTGTTTAGCCTGGAGAAAAGGAGGCTGAGGGGAGACCTTATCACCCTCTACAACCACCTGAGAGGAGGTTGTAGAGAGGTGGGGGCTGACCTCTTCTCCCTGGTGAGAAGTGATAGGATGAGAGGAAATGGTTTTAAGTTATGCCAGGCAAGGTTTGATTGGATATTAGGAAAATGTTTTTTAATGAAAGGGTTATTAGACATTGGAATAGGCTGCCCAGGGAGGGGGTGGATTCTCCATCCCTGGAGGTGTTTAAAGAAAGGGTAGATGTGGTACTTGGGGACATGGTTTAGACGTGGTTTTGTCAGGGTAGGTTGATGGTTGGACTTGATGATCTTAAAGGTCCCTTCAAACCTCAACAATTCTATGATTCTGTGTCCCAGTACAAACTTTTTATCTTCGGGCCCAGGATACCAGTGTTCCTAGTTGTGCCAGCACAGGGGTACTGGGGCATGGTGGCAGTTTTTGTCCTGCCTGGACACATTGGCTGCTCACCCTGCAACACACTCCTCCCCAGGCTTGTGAGGGACGGGGCTGTACAGCAATGACTGATGAACATGTTGGGGATATATTTTTTTAATTCTTCTAGGGTGTCTGAAAGCAGTGTCTCTGTTACCTCCCAAATGTGGGCTGCATCAAAAGAAGTGTGGCCAGCAGGTCAAGGGAGGGGATCCTGCCCCTCTACTCCACTCTCGTGAGACCCCACCTGGAGTACTGCGTCCAGCTCTGGAGTCCTCAACATAAGAAAGACATGGACCTGCTGGAGCGTGTCCAGTGGAGAGCCATGAGGATGATCTGAGGGCTGGAGCACCTCTCCTATGAGGAGAGGCTGAGAGAGCTGGGGCTGTTCAGCCTGGAGAAGGCTCCGGGGAGATCTTATTGCAGTCTTCCAGTCCCTAAAGGGGCTACAGGAGAGCTGGGGAAGGACTTTTTACAAGGGCATGTAGTGACAGGACGAGGGGGAATGGCTTTAAACTAAAAGAGGGCAGGTTTAGATTAGGTATTAGGAAGAAATTTTTCACTCTGAGGGTGGTGAGACACTGGCCCAGGTCACCCAGAGAAGTTGTAGCTGCCCCATCCCTGGAGGTGTTCAAGGCCACGTTGGATGGGGCTTTGAGCAACCTGGTCTGGTGGGAGGTGTCCCTGCCCATGGCAGGGGGGTTGGAACTACATGATCTTTATGGTCCCTTCCAACCTAAACCTTTGTATGATTCTCTCTCTCAGTCCGAGTGACCATGACACTCTGCAAGTGCTAGCTGTTTATCAGCTGGTTAAAACACAGCCAAGAGTCCCAAAATGGACTAGGTCCAGTTGGTATTGCTGATTGTTCAAAGCATCACTGAGCCCTTTGTCCCACCTTCCTTCCTGAAAACACCGACAGAGACATGCTAGGCTCATGCGCTGATCACATGATGTGACTGAATCTGGAAAGAACCACAGAAAGTCTCTGCATCAACTGTCACTTTTCATACAAAACATTTATTTTAAAAAGTTGCATATAAAGTTCTACACAGGACGGTTAACATTTCTATAGTAAAAAAAAACAAAACAAAACAACCCAACAAACAAACCCCAAAACAAAACCAAATGAAAAATCCAGCTCTGTCACTCAAATGGTAAAAGGGTTCCTCATTCTCAACAATCCACATCTAATAGGCTTCACTGTGCATTTTGGTAGAACACCACAGACGAACTGCAGAAATGGAGCTCATTAGAGAGAAAGACTCTAGATGTACATATTTACATCGTTATCTAGCACGTGTACTTCTTACCACCACAGCCGCAGAACGACATTACTCTTGGAATGGATCTCATCCTCTACCCTGTTTCTGTGCTGACACGGCTATTTTGGCTGTTTTACCAAAGCAGCTGTTTTTACGGAAGACTTTTTTAATGGTTTTGGTCCACTGGGTAATGCCCTGGCACTGTTCCAGAGAACCGAGGGAGGGTTCAATTGGTTACGTCCTCCCCAAGGAGAAGGCTGAGGATAGTGAACACTGTGTAAAACACCTCCCCTCACCCCACCTTCCGCGCTGAGAAGAAACACAAAGTGGGGAAGGACTCCCTTCTAGTCAGAGGGTGAAGGAGCTTTTGGACTGAAAGCTGCCTGTGAGAAATTTTAAATTTGGACAATGATTGTCTGAAGAAGTCATTTTAAATCATCCGAGCAAGTTCTGCTGTCAGATTTACATTACCTCTTCTTACCCCGCCACGTTTCTGAGGGAAGAATTCCCCTCTTCAACAAACAAGTATAAAGTTCAATTTCTAAACTTCTTAAACAAAGCAAAAGCAGATGGCTCAGTATATAAATATATCCAGCATCTGGATTCTCAGTCACAAAAATAACATCCTTTATACAACAGAAAATGGATCAACTATGAAGCAATTCTCCATTGGTCTTAAGATCCAACGTCTTCATCAACAGCTTCATCTTCATTCTCTTCCTCCTCATCCTCTTCATCATCTTCTCCCACTTCTCCATCTCGCTTCTCTTTTTCAAGCATTTTTAGGTATTTGCTAGCTAGGATCTTCTTTGGCAAGATATCTGGAAGGTAGAATTGTTTCTTTTATAGTCAGTTTGAATCATTATATTGCCTTATTAATACTGTTGCATCCGTACCACTAATGAAATGCAGTAAAGAAGAGGCTTTGTTAAAAACATTATTATTTAAGTGAATAACTAGGTAAGTTAGTCTGATCTATACAGCTGTAAGAATAAAAGGGAATTACCCACTTGCGGTACCAATGATAAGGAATATATCACCAACCAACGATAAGGAATATATTTTAAAACTGATTACTGGCAACTGTCTTTAGTATCTGCTCACGTACATTATTCATTTGATATAAAACAGAGTGCTCAATTGCTCAACTGCCATAGCCAGATTCAACAAGCCATTTATGTCTTGTAGAAACAGGTTTCCTGCATTAAGGTAAGACACTTGTTCAGGGCAATACCGATGGACCTGAGGCAAAGGAGAACAGCGTGCTCTGAAAGTATGTCCACAGGGAACCCAGGGAAGGACTGGGCTAGGAATATCTTATTCTCGACCTGTATCTTATGCTGATACCTTTTCTGAGCTGTGTTACAACAAAAAACCAAGTATCAGTAAAAAGCGTGTGCGCACGCACACGTGTGTGTACATATATATATATAAAAGGAGAGAGTAACCATATAATGAATCACTTTGAGAAACAAGACATACAGATTTAAATGTGTAATTTTGGGGCCACACAACTTCTCACATAAAGATGTGCAGTGATCTTGTTTTATAGGCTGAAAGCTTTCCGATGGAGTTGTTGGAATTTAAGAAATGCTTAAGGCAATATGCTGAGAACTAATTAGCCTTGTATAATTTTGAAGCACCAGAAAAACCCCCATTCACAAAGAAACATTTTCACTGATGTAGTTTATGAGTTCCAGTTGAATGTTATACAGGAGATTAATGACCAGTAGGAGACTATCATTCTCACAAAATAATTCACTAAGAGCAAGATTTTGTTTTCCAAATTACATACTGGATTTACCATCACTCTATAGATACCTGCAAGGAACTGAAAGGTCTCACACTCTTCTGCAGTATGAGACAGGTCACTGTAAGTTAGAGCATTCTTCTCCTTGCCTCTGCCGTGTTTGTAGGAGTATGTAGCCAAATACTGAACAAAAAGCTCCTAAAAAATTAAAACAAAAGTGAATAGTCAAACTATGAATTCACCCATGTAGTTGGTGGCAGTTTTCTTTAATTCCTCTTTAAAGACACAACCAGCGCATTTAAGGGTACATATACTGGACACTTTGGGAGAGACCCACTTATTTCAGAAGACCTTAAGTTCAGGACGAAGTTGCATCTCCCTGGAGCACTGACTGCAGGTTTGGGTTCTGGTACGTCACTTAATTTGCGCTGCTCTTCAACACTTTCCACAGCCCAGCAAATGACACTTGGGATCAGAAAGCAGCAGGGTATCATTTCCATACAGCCTAATTTATACTAATTGTCAGTTTTGGAAATAAGAACCTCCTGCATTGCTCACAGACTCTGCGAGCTCAGCTGGACAGGAAGATGCCCAAATCCTCAGCAAGTCTGCCAACGACACCAAGCTGTGTGATGTGGTTGACACACTGGAGGGAAGGGATGCCATCCAGAGGGACCTGGACAGGCTTGAGAGGTGGGCATGCCTGAACCTCATGTAGTTCAACAAGGCCAAGAGCAAGGTCCTGCACGTGGGTCAGGGCAATACCGTGCACAAATCCAGGCTGGGAGGAGAATGGATTGAGAGCAGCCCTGAGGAAAAGGACTTGGGGGTGTTGGTGGATGAAAAACACAACAAGAGCTGGCAATGTGCAATCATAGTCCAGAAGGCAAATGGCATCCTGGGCTCCATCCCCAGCAGCATGGCCAGCAGGGCGAGGGAGGGGATTCTGCCCCTCTGCTCTGGTGAGACCCCACCTGGACCACTGTGTCCAGCTCTGGGACCCCCAACATAAGAAGGACATGGACCTGTTGGAGCGGGTCCAGAGGAGGGTCACGAAGATGATCAGAGGTCTGGAGCCCCTCTGCTGTGAGGACAGGCTGAGAGAGTTGGGGTTGTTCAGCCTGGAGAAGAGAAGGCTCCGGGGAGACCTTATAGCCCCTTCCAGTACTTAAAGGGGCTACAGGAAAGCTGGGGAGGGACTCTGATCAGGGAGTGGAGTGATAAGACGAGAGGTAATGGTTTTAAACTGAAAGAGGGTAGATTTAGAATAGATATTAGGAAGAAATGTTTCAGTCAGAGTGGTGAGCCCCTGGCCCAGGTTGCCCAGAGAAGCTGTGGCTGCCCCATCCCTGGAGGTGTTCAAGGCCAGGCTGGA